TCTTACATAATGCAGTTATCAAGTTAGGAAACAGAAGGTTACCCCGGAACCTCTTGGCACATTCATGGATTTGATCTAAAATGAGTTCTCTAATGTCTATCTTCCTCCCGTATATGATCGAGTGCAAGAGCATCAGTCTCTTCACAAGGACAGTGGTGCTGTAGGACGTTGGCATAAGCTTGCCTTTGAGAAATTGGTTCCACAACTTCACGTACGATTTTAGTGCTCGACGATCTACTCTTTTCATCATTGGGGCATTCCCTTCGAACTTGGCCCACCCAAAGCATAAATCTTATAGTACGCCGTCATATATTTCTTGATCGGCCTCAGCCACAAATCGCTTGTGATGTTCCTCCAGTTTTCCCAACTTAAAGTATCAGTTGAGTGCAGAGGGGGAAAATCGAATGAGTTTTCCTCGAACATAAACTGTGTAGATAGATGGGTCCTTGAGATGGGCGTAGAATTCTCATACCATCACCGGTACAACGGCTTTGGGATTGCAAGAAAACTTCTCCTAGTTGTGTTTCTTTATCACGCCCATCACCTTCGGTCCAAACGGTTGATCTTCCTCGGCGGAAAGACGAATCCATCTGCCAAATAGACTTGACGTTTCTGAAAAATTTTGAAGCGTGCTTCTGCTTCGGCTGTTTGGAAACGTTTGAAACTCTGTGTTGGGGCTGGGGCTTTTCTTATTCTTACCATTGTTATTGGTTGATATCAGTGGTGACGATGGGAAGAGAAATAATTTTGTTGCTTAGTGATGAGAGGTTGAGGCACGATGAAGAAGAAGAAGTTGAGCAGTTTGTTTCTTTGGAAAGTAATGGGTGGTTTCGGGGTAGTTTTGTCCTTTCTTGGAGGGAAAAGATTTGTGCATTAATGAGAAATATATGATTGGACATAAAGTGGGGGGAAAAAATCTTTCCCTCTTTATTCTGCCGCCAAAAACCATGTATCCTAGGGTTTCTTCTCTTCTCTTGCATGCTCTTATTCCCCAGCCACGTGTTCTTTGCTTACCTATAATAAATAAAGAAAATAAAATAAAATGGATAATGAAATGAGAAAATAACTTAATTTATTTATGTACAAAATTCAAATTTTTCGTTGCCTAGGCAACGAAATTTTTGTTCAAGAAAGTAAAGCAAACTCTTGGGCATCATGTGCCAACGATGTTGGATTGTCGCGCATGACTGGGGCTCCTTTGTACATCTTGAGTCTCTAACCGTTCACCTTAAAGATAAAACCATCATTTTGGTTCTGGATTTCAATTTCTCCATTGTCATGGACTTGGTGTACAATGAATGGTCCGGACCATCGCGATTTTAACTTACATGGAAATAACTTAAGACGTGAATTAAAGAGCATTACTTGTTGTCCAGAATAAAATTGCCTCGGCAGTATGTTTCTTTCATGCCATCGTTTTGTTTTCTCTTTGTATAGGCGGGCATTCTCGTATGCGTGTGCTCTGAATTCATCCATCTCGTTCAGTTTCAAGAGTCTTATTTCTCCAGCATGTTGAGCATCCATGTTTAGCTTCTTGATGGCCCAGTAAGATTTATTTTCGAGTTCAACCAGAAGATGACATTCCTTTCCATATACTAGTTTGAATGGTGACATTCCCAACGGTGTCTTGAATGTTGTTCGATAAGCCCATAGTGCTTCATCTAGCTTCGGTGACCAGTCCTTTCGATTTGGGTTGACCACTTTCTCAAGGATCTGTTTAATTTTCCTGTTAGACACTTTGGCTTGTCCATTCGTTTGAGGGTGATACACCATAGCAATCCTATGTCATACTCCATATCGCTTCAGTTCCTTGGCAATCAATTTATTATTAAAATGAGTGCCTTCATCGCTGATGACAGCTCATGGTGTTCCAAATCGGGTGAATATATTTGTGTAAAAATTTTAACACCGTTTTGGAATCATTTTTAGGTGTAGCAATGGATTCAACCTATTTTGATACATAATCCACTGTCAAGAGAATGTACAAATCTCCAAAAGATGTGAGAAAGGGTCCCATTAAGTCTATTCCCCATACATCGAAGAGTTTAATTTCCAAAATATTTTGCCATGGCATCTCATGCCTTTTTTATATGCTTCATGTTCATTGGCATCTATCACATGACTTATAAAACTCATGCACATCCTTGAATAAGGTTGGCCGATAAAATCTAGATTGGAGCACCTTTCCTACTGTTCACATTCCATCGAAATGCCCTCATATGGTGACGAGTGGCACTGGTGTAGAATATATTTCTGCTCTTTTTCTGGAATGCATCTTCGAATTATTTGCTCTCCGCATTGCTTAAATAGAAATGGTTCATCCCAGTAGTAATGTTGCATATCATGTCGAAACTTCTTTCTGCCCTGGCTAGATAAATCAGGAGGAACAATATCACTAACAAGAAAGTTAATAGTGTCAGCATACCACGGCGCAACCGTGACAAAATAATATTTTCTCATCAAGGAAATCGTTTCTAATTTCTGTTGTGTCAAGACAATCAGGTTTTTTATCTAGCCTAGACAAATGATCTGCCACTTGATTCTCTATACCTTTTCTATCCTTAATCTCTAAATTGAACTCTTGTAAATAATAATATCCATCGAATTAGTCTAGGCTTCACATATTTTTTATTAATAAAATATTTAATGGCTGAGTGATCTGTATGCACAATTATCTTAGTGCCTATTAGGTATTGCCTAAACTTATCGAATGCAAATACTACTGCTAAGAGTTCCTTTTCAGTGGTGGTATAGTTAACTTCTGCATCATTAAGAGTGCGGCTTGCATAGTATATGACGTGAAAAATTTTACTTTTTCGTTGCCCTAGCACTGCTCCGACTGCATAATCACTGGCATCGCACATGAGTTCAAATGGTTTGTTCCAATATGGTGGGACAACGATTGGTGTTGTCGAAAGCTTTTTCTTCAAATCTGTGAAGGCATTCAAACAATCATTAGTAAATTCAAATGGATGATTTTGTTGAAACAAAAGACATAAGGGTAGAGATTTGAGAAAAATATTTTATGAAATGCCTGTAGAAGCTTGCATGTCCAAGGAAGCTTCGTACACCTCGCACACTGGTGGGTGGGGGTAGGTTTGCAACTATGTCCACCTTGGCTTTATCGACTTCAATGCCTTGACATGAAATTTTGTGACCCAACACTATTCCTCCGGTCACCATAAAATGGCATTTCTCCCAATTCAACACTAAATTGGCTTCTTCACATCATTTCAGTACCATAGATAAATTTCCAAGGCATCGTTCAAAATCAATACCCGAGACGAAGAAATCATCCATAAATATTTCCATGCATTCTTCCACCATATCTGAAAATATTGCCATCAAGCATCTTTGGAATGTAGCTGGAGCGTTACATAATCCAAACGACGTTCTTCTAAATGCATAGGTGTCATACAGGCATGTGAATGTTGTTTTCTCTTGATCCTCCGGTGCTATGGCTATTTGGTTATACATGAATATCCATCGAGGAAGCAGAAAAATGCCTTTCCCGCCAACCTATCAAGCATTTGGTCGATGAAAGGAAGGGGGAAATGGTCTTTCTTTGTGGCTTTGTTGAGCTTCTTGTAATCCATGCATATGCGCCAACCTGTGACTGTTCTTGTGGTGAGGAGTTCGTATGTTCGCTTTTAATCACGATCACTCCACCCTTCTTTGACACACACTGCACCGGGCTAACCCATGAACTATCGGTTATAGGATATATTACTCCCACGTCCAACCATTTTATGATTTTCTTAATGACTACCTTCTTCATGATTGGATTGAGCCTTCTTTGAGGTTCCACCGAAGTACTATGGCTATCTTCAAGGTTGATTTTTTGCATGCATATAGTCGAATTGATTCCCTTCAAGTCTGCCGTTTTCCATCCGAGAGATTTTCTGTGCTGTAACAAAACATTCAACAAACTATTCTCCTGTTCGGAGGTTAGGTAGGAAGAAATTATCACTGGTAGAGTTTCATCAACTCCTAGATAAGCATATTTCAAATATGATGGCAAAGGTTTAAGTTCCAGTTTCGGTGCTTGTTGCAAGGATGTCTCTTGAGACTTTACTTCATCATATTCTAAGGGTTCGAATTTCATACCTGATCTATTGTGAAGAAGTCTCGATCAATCTTTTGTCTCTCTTCCGTATCGTGCATTGGTATTAATTGCAGGGCGTTTATTGTTCAGATTTTTGTTGCCAGGGCCATGAATTTCTTAATCCTCTTATGTGTTTAATTTGCTTGGGCCAAATATATCTTGCTCATGCATCTAGGTTGGAGGGTCATGATACAAAGAGTTGTATCCTTGTCCTAGGATTATCTTCTCCTCGACTTCTCTAATGCATTGGCATTCTTCTGAATCGTCCCTATATTTCATGGAGTTGAATACATTCATAGTGAAACTTTGCTCTCCTACTCGCATTGTGAACTCTCCCTTTTCGCAATCTATTAGGATTCTCCCAGTGGCTAAGAATGGTCGTCCCAGGATGATCGGACATTTTCATCAGCTTCGTAATCCAGGATAAGGAAATCAACTGGAAATACGAATTTATCCACCTTTACGATGACGTCCTCTATTCTACCCTCTGGCCGCACATATGATCGATCGGCTAGCTGTAAGATGACTGAGGTTGGGCAGGCGTGATACCCGTCTAATTTCATAAATATGAACTTTGGTATCAAGTTCACACTTGATCCCAAATCAACTAGAGCTCATCCTATGAAGCTACTACAAATTGAGTATGGTATTATAAAGCTGCCAGGGTCTTTTTGCTTTGGTGGGAGTTTGCTCACTATTGAACAGATTTCTGTTGCCGTGGCAACCATGATGAATCATGTTTAAGGGAAAAAATAACCTCGAAGATAGTTCCTTTGGTCATAACACCAAGGGAGGTATACATTGGGCCATTGGGATTTTTGTTCACTCCAATGATGTCAAGGTTGAAGGTGCATTTCAGTTCAGGGTGTGTAACATGAGCTTTAGTAAATCGCAATCATGATGGGCGGATAAAGCGCTCATACTTGGGAGGTTTTCTGGCAATAAAGAACAAGTTTACTAGCAAGAAAAGTTATAACATTTACCAGCATATTAAAACGTAATAAAGAAATAACATCTTTTTACCTTGGGTATGGGGACCTCCTATTTTCCAGCTTTTTTTTTATGGTGTTGCTCAGAACCTAAATAGAAAAATATAACGCTACAATTAAGTCTTAACATAATGGCATATGAATTGGAGATTGTATTAATGTCATCTATCAGCATACCTTTGCACGTGTGGTGTTTTCCCTATCCATAAGATAGTAGGGGTGTATTCGGGTCGGTTCGGTTTTTTACCAAAAATTGAACGAACCAAAATAAACGGTTTTTCAAAATTTAAACCGAAACCGAAACCTAATGGTTAAAAAACCGAAAAAATTAAAACCGGTTTTTCGGATTGGTTAGGTTTTTTAAACAGTTCGGATTTTTCGGTTCGGTTTATGGGTTTTTCAATGAAAAAATCAATTGAAACTATAATTTTTTTAAAAAAATTGTCCATTCGGTTCAATATGGAACAAATGGGTTCCATGTGGAAAACCCGAACCGAATCAATAGAATTGAGACTTCTAACCAACCCAAAAATCGAACCGTATAATGCCTAACCAAACCGAACCGAACCGTTTTACTCGGTTCGTGTCGTTTTTCGGTTTTCTCAGTTTCGTTGCTCAGCCCTATAAGATAGGAAGGAATGGCTCCATCTTGCACTTTATCATCAACCTTCCGCCTAGTTGATGATTCTTCATGCATGGCCAACCTGTTGATATGCAAATTTAATCCCTAGTTAGCTTACTTAGTAAAGAAAGAAAAGAAATTATTAAAGCTATAACCACTCATTAAAACAAGGTATAGATCCAATGCAAAAGCTTTAACACATCTTAAAACAATAAATTAGTCTCAAAGAGAAGTTCCATTTCATGACTCCGTAACCAGACATTGGAAACAATAGGGTATATTTGCTACATACTCGATCTTACATGTTCAAATTAGTCTTAGAAGGACATACAAATTAGGACCGAAGGGGGAACTTAATTCCATTCGACAATTCCCAATCATCCATAGATGCAACTTAACTATCATAAATTCACAGTAAAAAAAAGATATTGACAACTATGTTTATGTACCAATTCAGTGAATAAAATATAAGATTTTGATAAACATGAATATGGAAAAGAACCCTGTCAACTTCCTAGGAATAAGAGGGCGTGAATAAGACGGTGATAAAGGGAAGACAATATGATCATTATTACAATGGAGCTAGCCCATATAATCAAGTCAACAATGACAACAAAACATTCACATTAAATTTTGCAGAATATAATTGACAGGTAACAAGAAAAAAAAACTCATCATAACTAATTCAAGTGCAAAACAACACTTCTATGAGATCTTAATTGGATAAAAGAAATTACTAAAAATAGATAATAACAAAAAATAGACCAAATTAGAAAAAAAAACAAAAACAAAACTCACGTTTTTTTCATGAGGGCCTTCTCAGCATAATTTTTCTTGGCGATCATCTTACCCTTAATACCAAGGGCCTGTAGAAACAATATAACAGACACAAATTAATTCGTTCACAAAATCCTCGCCCACACAACACACACAAGAGAAAGAATAAAAACAAAAGGGGAAACGCTGAAAATAAAGACCTTCTGAGCTTTAGCGGATCGCTCGTGAACTTGACGAGCTTCCTTCTTGCGCTTCTTCTCGAAGAAGTCATGGCGATAACCATGCCTCTTTCTGTGTAGCTCAATGTAATCTCCTTGCGGCTAAAACAGAGAATTAGATACGAAATTTAGAAAAATGGGAAAAATTACCATTGAAATGAGTAAAACGAAAGTAAAGAGAGTGAGGTCGAAATGAACTAACCATGGCGACGAAGCTTTGATCCTTACTTGTGAGAAGATAGAGGAAAACCCTAGGGCTTTAGAAAGCGGGAAATAGTATAGAAATGCATGTCGGTTAAAGGTTTGGACTTAGAATATTCGGCTAATGCGTTATTCAGATTCAAATTGAAGGTGAGCGTCCCAGCCCAGCAGCATTATTGAATATGGTTCTATATGGGGAGTAAAATTCTTCTCGATTTAAAAATATTTAATTTTTTAATTAGATTCAACTTGATTCAATCCATAAATTTTATAAATTCGTCTCGACTCACAATTTTATAAACTCGTCTTATCTCAAAAAATTTAAAATTTGAGTCGAGTTATAAAATAGAACTCGAATAATTCAAATTTTTTAATAATTAGTGGATTGATTTTCTAGTTCGAGTCAAATCCCTCAACTCTACATGAGCCATAAATATGTATATCACATAAAAATATATATGAAAATATATATATGTATATCGTATATGGTTATAAAAATTGTTGGAAAAATTGTGATAAATTAAAAACTTTGAGACATATTTTCTAAGGGTAAAGGTGGAGAGTCGAATAATGAATTTACCGATTCATATTCTACTCCATGATATCTTTACAACGTCATTTCATATGCTCAAAACGATTGAGTGATAACGGAGAAATTGATGCTCAAAATAGAGAATAAGTGAATTGTGTTGGGTAAGAAAAATAAGAAAACTCATATCTCATATTTGCAAGCTGACGAGCATTGGAATGGTTTATATACAATAACTCACTTACTAATAGTCATTAAATGACTTGGATTAAGATTGTGCCTTTGAGTGCAAGCATAAGTGGCTTGGCTTGCAAATCAAAGCCCTCCCATATCCATTAGGGTTTGGTGTGCACTTGCAAGACTATGCAAATAAAAGCCCTCTCATATCCAATATGGTATATCTTATAGGTCATGAATTTATTCTATTAAATAAGGTATTATTTGATTACTTTCGAATTTATTTAGATATTCATTAATAATCTCACTTTTCAGAATATATTTTACCAATTTTCTCTCATGAGAGACTCTATAAATATCATCTAAACTTACTAGGTTAAACACAATTCAAATAACTCGAAAACTTTTTTATTTCTTCTACAGTTTTCGATGATAGCCTCAAACAAGATATAATTTGTGATTTCTGCAGTTGTGTGATATACGTTGATCATGTCGTTGTATCTTGAGAGACAAACAACCAATGATCTCAAGTACCATAGGAGTGGTCGAAAATCTATCTTAAGAAAATTACATAGTTGTAGGCCTCAACACATTTCTAATCATCTAAATTGGGTTTGTATATTTCTTAACTGTTATTTTTTATTATTTAATAAAATATTTAATTTTATCTTATATTCCCTAACAGAAAAATATACATAACTTTTTTAAAAGAAAAATACATATGTATCCGATTCTCATTCCAAACTCAAATAATATAATCTTGAGCACTAATTCGAAAGTTGCAAGTTGGTATACAATAAGCCTAGAATCTATTTGTACATTGATTGTTGTTTTTATTATTATTAGAAAGATTAATTTGGGATGTCGATAAGAAAGCAAATCTTGATGGCTAAAGTGAGAAGATTAAATAAATAATATTTTAATAGGATAAAGGCTGAAATAGAGTTTCACACACTTTTCTTCACAAATTGAAAAGTTCTCCCACAACCCCTTTTTTTTAAATCAATGCACTTACTGAAAATTTAATAAACATTTTTCTATTTAGGCTCAATTTTCTTTAAAAAAAAAAGTTAAAAGTTTTATTAAGTTGTAGTGTCCCATCATGAATCTTGGACTAAAGTCTAGATCTTATTAAAAAAAATTAATTAAGGATGGATGCATATGTGTTGACGAAAACGGGTAAAGAAAACGAAAGAACACGAGAATTTTACGAGGTTCGGCAATGTGCTTACGTCCTCGGTGCCTAGGCGGCGCTAGAAGTTTTATTCAATGATTTTTTAGGTCTAGGTTACATCTCTATTTATAATAGAAAACCCTGGTACATAATTACAAAATCAACCCTGTACCGTACCGCGGGGGCTGCGCCCCACACCCCAACCCACATAATTCGTAACCCCACAACGAGACTTTTTATGAGCCATACATAACAAATCTCCACCTTGGCGAATATCCTGCCCCTTGGAAACTTCAATGTGGGTTGGGTTACCTTGCTTCTTTAACAACTCGAAACATTCAACAAGTCCAAGCAATGCTTGAACTTGTCTGTCGTAACTGGCTTGGTGAACATATCAGCGGCATTCTCATCAGTATGTACCTTCTGAAACAAAACCTCTCCAGATGCAACCAACTCTCTGATCTTGTGGAACCTTACATCAATATGTTTAGTTCTAGCATGATACACCTGATTCTTAGCCAAGTGAATAGCACTTTGATTATCACAAAGCAACTGAACTCCACCTTGTTGAACACCCAACTCCTTCACTAAACCAGTAAGCCATAAAGCTTCTTTTGCAGCTTCAGCCGCTGCCATGTATTCAGCTTCAGTTGTAGATAGTGCCACGACAGATTGAACAGTAGACTTCCAGCAAATAGGCCCTCCACCAAGAGTAAACACATACCCTGTCGTAGATCTTCTATTATCCAAGTCACCTGCATAATCTGAATCCACATATCCTACAACCAAAGGATTATCCCGCTGACTCCCAAAAATAATTCCATGTCCCACAGTACCTTTTAAGTACCGAAAGATCCACTTGACTGCATCCCAATGTTGCTTACCAGGTTTAGACATGTACTTACAAACTTGACTAACAGCATGAGCTAAATCAGGACGAGTACATACCATCGCATACATCAAGCAGCCAACAGCATTAGAATACGGAACCTTTGTCATATTTTCAGCTTCCTTATCTGTCTTAGGGCACTGTTCTGATGAGAGCTTAAAGTGATTCGCAAATGGAGTGCTAACTGGTTTCGCGCTGCTCATCGCAAACCTTTCTAGCATTTTCTCAACATAACCCCGTTGAGATAGCCGCAGTTTCCTTGAGTCTCTGTCCCTGAAAATTTCCATTCCAAGAATTTTCTTTGCAGCACCTAAATCTTTCATATCAAATTCCTGACTCAATAAAGTTTTCAAACCGATAACATCATCCATGTTCTTCGCAGCAATCAACATATCATCAACATACAGTAATAGAAAAATAAAAGAACCATCATCAAGGCTCTTAACATAGACACAACAATCATACTCACATCGGTTGTAGCCAATCTTGATCATATAGGAGTCAAACCGTTTATACCACTGTCTCGGAGACTGTTTTATCCCGTACAAAGATTTCTTCAATCTGCAAACTAAATGCTCGTTTCCAGGTTGAGTGAAACCTTCAGGTTGCCGCATGTAGATCTGCTCCTCTAAATCACCATGCAAAAAAGCAGTTTTAACATCCATCTGCTCTAAATGCAAATCCCAACTAGCCACCAATGCAAGTACTGCTCGGATTGAAGTGTGCCTGACCACAGGAGAAAATATTTCATCATAATCAACTCCTTTCTGCTGTGAAAAACCCTTCGCTACCAAACGAGCCTTGAACTTCTCCCCCTCTTTTTCTGTTACTGCTGATTTCTTCTTATACACCCATTTGCAACCAATCGGCTTCTTACCCTCAGGAAGGGGAACTAACTCCCATGTGCGATTGTGATTCAAAGACTCCATCTCCTCAACCATGGCTGCCATCCACTTGTCGTTTTCCTGACTAGTAACGGCATCATGAAAAGTAACTGGATCATCACTGCTAACAGTAAGTGCAAAAGATACCAAGTCTTCAAAACCCAATCTGTTCGGAGGCTTTATATTCGTCCGTCTCACCCTGTCTCTGGCGAGACTATAATCCTGCAAATCATCCGTAGTGGAACCACCAGAAGTCGGTTGAGAAGTTTTTGGTTTCTCAACTGGAAACTGCTCGAAATCCACCACTGTCGTGTCTTGCTTTTGCTGCAACATGGATTGTTCATCAAAAACGACATCTCTACTAATCACAACTTTCTTCGCAACTGGATCCCAGAACTTGAATCCTTTGACACCTTTCTTGTAACCCAGAAAAATACACTCCTTCGATTTTGCATCAAGTTTGGATCTCTCATCAGCAGGTACATGCACATAAGCAGGACAACCAAAAATCCGTAAGTTATCAAAACTAACATCATGACCAGTCCATACCTCTTCTGCAACTTTCCCAGCCAACGATGCCCTTGGCGATCTGTTGATAAGGTAACACGCCATGTTAACAGCCTCAGCCCAGAAGTGTTTGGGAAGCCCCGCATTCAACCGCAAACATCTGGCTCTTTCATTCAACGACCTGTTCATTCGTTCCGCAACACCATTCTGTTGTGGTGTCTTGCGCACTGTAAAATGCCTCTGAATCCCATGCTCCTTACAGAATTGTAGGAACTGTGAATCTGTGTACTCCGTACCATTATCAGACCGCAAACACTTGATTTTTCGTCCTGTTTGGTTTTCTACCTCAGCTTTCCACAACTTGAACTTCTCAAAAACTTCAGATTTCTGTTTCAAAAAATACACCCAAACTTTCCGTGAAAAATCATCAATAAAAGTAACATAGTACCTAGATCCACCCAAAGACGATGTCGTGGAAGGCCCCCATACATCAGAATGCACATAATCAAGAATCCCTTGAGTTGTGTGCTTCGCAGTCTTGAAACAGACTTTAGTCTGTTTACCAAGAACACAATACTTGCAAAAGTCGAGCTTACAGCTTTTGACACCATGCAACAAGTTTCTCTTGTGTAATTCTGCCATACCACGTTCACTAAGATGAGCAAGGCGCATATGCCACAATTTTGTCGTATCATCACAGGACTCAACAGAGTGAACTCCACCTGCAACGGTACTCCCTAACAATCTGTAGATATTCCCTGCAGTCATCTTGCCTTTCATCACAGTCAATGCTCCTTTAACAATCCGAATGGTTTCCCTATCCTCGTCAGCCTTAGGGATAAAACCATTCTTGTGCAAAGTGCCCAAGGAAATCAAATTCTTCTTCAAGTCTGGGATATGTCGAACACCACTCAACGTCCGA